TTGCCTAGAATCATGCCTGGAACCTTGGTTATATTCAGAGTCATAGCCTTGTCCGTAACCTTGTCCGTGGCCTTGCCGGGAATCTTGCCTGGAACTTTGGTTATATCCAGAATCGTAACCTTGATCATAGCCTTGATTCTGATGACTGCTGTCGTGGCGACGTTGGTTGTGTCCTTGAGATTCGGAGTAATCACCATATCTATGACTGGACGATGATTCGTTGTAGTAGTCCGCACTTTTTCCACCTTCATGAGTGTGATGGCGACTCTGGTAGCTGCTGTGATCGCCCCCGGAGTGATGCGACTGGTAGCCTTGGTGGCGAGATTCATAGTCTTGGCGTTGATGGGATAGCTCATGGTAAGACTGATGATGCTGTTGCTGTTGTTGTTGTTGATGATGATGCTGAGGCTCAGGTGGGGGTGTAGTCTGCTGCGAAGTCTCGTCACTCCTCGAGGAACCACCTAGCCCAAAGCTAGAGAAAGCGCTGCTAAGCTTGGAGATACCTGGAATGGGAAGGCTGGAAAGTTCGTCGAGGGGGTTAACCGAGCTTTGTTGTTGTTGCTGTTGGGGTGGACGGTACTGTGACTGTCCTGACTGATTATGGGACTGCTGAGGTGCATGACTGTGACTATGGCCGTGCCCATGGGAGTGGCCGCCCTCTCCTGTTTGATTCTTTCCTGCCTTCACACCCTCGGCACTGAGAATATCGTTAAGCTTGGAGCCGCGATCCGACCTAGACTGCACCCAAGATTCGACCGCTTCGTACATAGTCCGATGTGCTTCATTGCGCATATCCCTCAGAGCGGGATGATGGAATACTTTGAGGCAATCGTCCGAAACCTGTCGCTCGGAGATGTTGGTGTTCTCCCAAGCGTACAGGACACGAGGCGCGACATATTTAAGAATGGCAGAAGCGACTTGACCAGCTGGCTCATTGAGGATATTGGAGAAGTGATCCTTGGACAGCAAGGAGTGGGTAGGGTCGGTGCAGTGAGGGTCGGTCCACGGTTCATACTGGTGTTCACCAGACGCATTAATGACACTAGAGGAGCCAGTCTGGAGCTGCTTGGAGGCGGCGTTGATGATAGGACGAACGAAGGGCGCCAAGAGAGACATGACAAAAACGGTCAAGGTTTCAGTGATCGTCTCGACCAGGGTTTCCAGACCAGGGATGTTCTCGATGATGGATGAGAGCTTCCGCACGACATTATCTCTGAATTGCAGAATAGGGTATATTTGATCAATGGTCTTTTTTGCATCAAAATCAGGCAGCCCGGGCAAGCCACCCGAGGAACTCTGATTGGAGTCATCAGCTCTGGCAGCCCTGCTTTGTTCACCTCCAAAGCCTCGGCTGCTGCCTGAGTCGAAGTCGTCAAAGGACCGAGCAGATCCGCGGGTTGAATAGCCTGAACGATGACCGCCACGCTTGTTTAATGATTCTTGCTCGTCTGAGCGACGCCTGAGCTCCTCAGCTTCGTTAACAAGATCCTTCGTGCCAGGAACCTTGCCGAGCAGTGCTGTCAACGCGCCAGCAGAGCCGGAAGATGTATTTGTCTGTGCATCTCCCAGCGCAATATCCATTTCATTAACCTCCGACTGGGTGAAATGATCGGTCGCTTCTCCAAGCATGGAATGGAAGAAATCAACCATACCGAATGTGCCAGTTACGAGAGGGTAAACACGGTGACCCCGAACGTTCATCTCAGTCCGCGTTCCGGTGTGCGGGAATACATTACGGAAGCCCATCTCACGAAGCGCGAGTTCGCAGTAGTTCGTGTGTGCTGCAAAGTCCTCAAGAGTATGGAGTCCTTGACCGAGGCACCGCAAAGCTTCGCACAGGTCCTCCTCGTTTCTATTCTTGGTATACAGTCTTCCGTAATGGATACTGCGAGCCAAACTATATTTGACATACCCAGAACTTGTGGACCAGTCTCCTCGTTCGTTGGCGATATAGTTCTTCATACCGGTATCGGGATCGATATCGAGCTCAACTTGACGCACCGGGCCACGCAGCCGAGAATCGTACTGGCGTGCATCTTGGTTGTCGGCATAATCCTTTGGGTTGCTTGTAAAGAAGCATTAGCCATATGCAATTTCATATGAATAGAGAAAAGGACGAACTCAATATGCTCCTCGGGACGATAAGTTCCCAGCCTGTCAGAGGTGACCTCAAACTCGGCCGTCGCATAACCGAAAGTCATGAAAGACAGGATCCAGACGAGGATTCGGATAGTGTCAGCTTGGACACTCTTAAGGGTGCCGACGTCCATCGCCTGGGAGCTATAGAGGGTCAGCGCGTGCAACAGATAGCTTCGTAAGAGATGAGACCCACTAATCACGCAACCAGTTGCCAAAGTAGACGCGCTTCATCATGGTAGAAGTCCACTTGTGGCCTTTGATAAAGGCGACAGTCTTGAGCATATCTTCAATATCACCATGGCGCCAATTCTTGCCCTCGACGGCGGAGATCGAAGCGATATCTAATCGTATCAGCAGCCGAGTCTAATTTTGGGAAAACCGACAGAGCCAAGGTCACACATACTGCCCGCGCCAAATGCATGGACTTGAGAGGGAAGCACGACGAGCACAAGGCATAAAATGAGGAGGGCATTGAAGCCCATATTCATCCCTGACGCCATGATTAATATGGCTGCAGGTCTTTAGTTGATGTTATGAAGTCGAAGGAAAAATATCTGTGGAGGGGTAAATAAGGAGGAGAGAAGAAGATAAGGTTTAAGCGCTTGGCGTCAGGAGACACAAACAGCTGAATGAAAGTCTTTGTTTTCCCAAGCATTGGGAAAGAATGAACGAGAAGAAAAGGCAAAGGCCAGCTCTGCGAAAATAATTTACAGCTTTAAACAAGGAAAAATTTCTTGGTTTTTGACTAGTTCTGATCTACAAGACACGGCAGAGCGACACCGCCGAAGTAGAAGATTCTCCTTCCTGATGATTTCAGAGCCCCGCCACCAGCATCAGATAACCATTGAGGGTTCACTATAGAATTAGAGGCTGGCTGAGCTTTGTGAGGCTGACGATCCGTGCAGAAGCTCTGTACTGTGTACTATACGCTAAGGACTCTTTCGGGTCCGTATTACGACTGGGGCGAGTGTTTTTTTTAATGTGAACGAAAATACTCCGAAGTACCAAGGATAAGTATGGGGCACTAAAGCCCTAAAAAGACCTCTTCTCGGTAGCTCCTTGGTATATGGGGCTAATCGAGTGGCACCACCCTTAGTAGCCTTGAGGCGACCAAGCGGAGGGGTAATTCAGCCCGAACCACTGTATCTATCATACCATACAGAAATCATCCGTAAATAAACAGTTGAATACGATGTTACAGAGTTCAGTTGATACCATGGCAGCAAACCATACATTAGCGTATTTATCGAAATAACCGACCATCAACGTTTCTTAGTCTACGATCTTCAACATCCCATATTGGTCACTGCTCGTGGATCTTCGTCCTCGGAAGATGGAAAGTGGAACCCGGTCGATTGGAATTGACTCATAATCATCAAATAGCAGCAATGATATGCATGGGGTCGATGTGCTTTGACTTGGGACCAAGCGATCCTCGGCTATATCCTTCATACTTCCGTGTACCTGAACTCAGCCCTCGAAAGACATGTCTACTACGTACCATGCTTCAGCTTTGGCTCGATTCCTGCTATTTTCCTTTCTCTTTGCTTCCATACTGCCCGTATGGTTCTGGTAAGGGGGTTTTGCCATTGATCCTTTGTCTGCCCCTCATTGCGCCACCCTCTCTAAGGGTGTAACCATAGTTATTAGAGCTGCTACTACTCCGTACAGTCTCCTCCATCAGTAGAGTAGCCATATGGAATTCTTAGTAGTACAGATATCCTGTATCTCTGCTTACAGTAAGAATATTGCTATGCCGTACTGATATAAGTACATTGATACAATTACTATTTGTCTCTTGTAAATAAATATCTTGTCACATTATACTACATGCTGTAGATACCAAATAGCAGGATCTATAATATTCTACTTGGCTTTATTTTCACTTATTCTTACTAGGAATCTGGAGCTGTTGGTAACTAGTGATAGTTAGTTAACTAATGTCAGACTTAGTCCCCCAGCCATGATTCTACAACTGAACACTCCTTCTATCAGTAGGCCTACCATGCCTCCAAGTCAAAGAGTCCATTTTCTCATATCGGGGTCCTTCTTGGGTTCTGTCCACCAGCGATACCCAGCAGGCGCCTTTGCTAAACCCCAAGCAATCCATTCGACATGCGACCATTCGGTACTAGGCTCGGTTGGAGCAGCTGTCATAAAATTGTAAATGGTACTTGAGTTGTCAGTCTTGTAAGCGATAAAATAAAGAAAGGAAACCGACATCTTGTCCGAAGAACTATCCCAAAATAAACTCGACACATCTCCATAGGGTCGAAACCCCTTGGCAACACATTCCCTTGAACGAATTAGTATGTTTCCTTCATGTATGGAGAATGATCACTTACTCCCATGCAGCTTTGAAGGTCTGTCAGATTTTATCACGCTCCCGGCGCCGTAGATCCCAGAACCCAGCAGAATCTAACTGCTTTCCTGGGGCTTTTTCGATGAGGAGATAGAGAATAGACCCACCTGGAAGCATACCTGTGTGATCTTGCCATCCTCTTTTCATATGTAAAAGACGTGCAGCTGATTCGCACTCCCTTGTCCGGAAGGTACCGTAAGCATCTAACATAAGCTGTCCACAGGAGGGAAGGTTATGGGATGCCTGGCGAGCGAAACTATTCGGATTCGCGCCTGCATGTGGAAATCTTAAAATTGTGAGCAAAAGGCCAAGTAGGAGGGTGGAGGGGATGATCATACTGCATGGCAATTCTCATGATAGCTAATTCAGTATGACAATCCACATTTTCACATTCGAAGGTTCCGTAAGCGCCACTGACAGCATCTGGGAAGTCATTTATTTCGCCTGCACTGAACTGGTCGTTCTTATCGCGCAACTTTTCAGTCAGGCGCCAACGAGCGTTGGGTTCGGTAAAGGAAATAACTTTTCCAATCCAGCTCTCATCAAAAAGCTCTGTCTCCATTTTGGGCTGCTATAAGTTTCAGGTATTTGTGAACAGAGAGATTGAGAGATAGGCGAGGAAAGGAGAAAGAGAGGAGAGGGGAAGGGAAACGAAGGTCTAGTTTGAACAAAAATGAAGTTATGTCATTCATATTGCATAGTTACCAAGGACCAGTTCTCTTATGTAGTGACAGAGCTGACAGGATCTTTACTATTCACTTTAGTGGAGCTTGTGAATATTATTTACTGCGGGTGGTCTGGCAAGAGAAGAAGAAAAAAGGGGGGAACAAATAATCATGTTGGATTAGTTTTAAGTATCTGGGTTAGGGTAGTACTATAGGATGGTGAATCTGTCTTAGACATTCTATAGAGATGCAACCCTCATCAATACAGCCGTACGCTAGGGTTTCAGCCATGTTCTGCAGCGGATTATAGCGCACTCCACAACAACGGGGGTCCTTGTCGATTTCTGCCAGCAGAAATTGCTGAATTCGAGTAGCGATTCTGAATATTTTGTATTTCTATGTTTATACTCAAGAGATTACTATAAACACTATATAAATTATACACAATGTGCATTTCTCTATAATATACAGTAACTTATATGAAGGAATATATACAATATCTATATTCTAAACCTTTTTTATAATATCTTATTTCAAAGCGATAGCGATACAGTTTAATACTATGCGGTAAATGGACTTGATGAGGAGTGGCTGTGATGGAATCCGCGTACCACGTCCAGCTTCGTTTTGTTGTTGTTAGCTTTTCACCGCCTAAAAAAGTATCTCTCCCAAAATTCAGTCATTGCACCTTCGAGCCAAGTAGAAGATATTCAACTGTATCGACAGGGATACCACGATAATGACGGACCAAAAGTAGACGTCAAGCTGCTCCTCTCCGAGCTGCGGAAACCCAGGCACGCGCCGCTGCACCGGTTGCAAACTAGCAGCGTCCTGCTCTCCAGCATGCCAGAAAGACCATTGGAAAATACACAAAAAGGCGTGCACGGGGGCGAAGAAGTACAACTGTTTCCTCATCCACGCCGTTCCCACTGATCCAACGAAAGAGAAACCCACCGATGCAGACTATATCGAACCGATGCCCCTGGGCTCATACGGTGAATGGTCCGCCGAACTGAAGGAGTTAAAGAGAAGAACCAAATGGGGCGGCATTCTCGAACCCGGCAAATTCTACTCGCACAAACCTGTTGATCGTTGGCACTATCATGTTTACCAGCAGTATGAGAAGACAGAAACACCGAGGAACCCGATTGTAAGTCGGTGCTTCAACGGAGACATTCATGGCGATATTGCGGTGGTTAGGTCGTCTGATGTGAGAGTCAATGACTACTCTGAAGAGTTCTCCAGGACAGAATTGGTTCGCACGTTGGAGTATTACAAGAATATACACGACGGAGATGAAGCTCACAAGCGGTCCAAAGCTAGCATGGCTGCTACTATGGGGGGTGTCGGCGGAGGCTTTCGATAGGATGGTGCCTGAGGGTTTCCCTCATATTCATAGCCCTGCGGACACAGAGCCATGGATGACAAGTGATCTGCCAAGTGAGTGACAAGGCTTAGTACAGTAGAGGTTTTCGTTGAATGACAGGTATGCTCCTGGAGATTGTGGATTTCTCAGATTAGTGGGTCCATTCAGGAGTGCCGTCTGACATTGTGAAGAAAAGTCCGTCTGCAATTTGACCTAGATACGGCCTGATAAGAGAGAAAGACGATTGATCGAAGCTTTTCCTTGACATCTACAAGGGTTGTTTCAGGGGACATCAAATACTACTAGTAGTATGGACTTCTTCAATGTTATATTTATAAATTAATATTACACGCTGCTTTTTTCCAGGGTTACAAAACACTATACCCAATTAGGATTAGACCCTGGAACAAGCCTCGGAGCTTAAGAATGCAATTATCCGGAGCAATGGAAACCCTGACTCCCTGATATATTAATCAAGATAATCGGAATCCCCTTCAATTCTCGCTAGAAAGTAATAGGTAGGTCCATCCATGATCATGCCACGCGCGTATGTAACCATCCACGGCCGCAGTGTAACTTTTGAGTGGAACTTGGCGAACACGCGCAAAAAACCCCGCTTTATTCTCTATCAATTGGGGCAGCCGCGGGGTAATCCGATCCGAGTCATCGCCGAATGAACAAGAAATATAAACGAGCCCCCGATGATCAAGGAATCTGGGTAGTATGGGGCTTGTTCCCGACGTAGCATTCCGTATACTACATTGTTGGGTAATAGAATGAAGTTGTATGGCCGTCGAATGCTACACAAATCCATTGTTGAGTTATCTTCACGTATAAAAATTTGAATCTTCTCCAGCTTTTCCCGATTATATTTTTTTTTTCTCCCCTTCCCCACGTCTCCTCAATCAACTGAATTTCGGTATTCTACCCCGTACATACCAACACAATAACATCTACTTGAGTATACCTAAGTAAGAAAAGGAAAAGAAAGAAAAAATGACCGTCCAATCAACCCCCCACCTCGACGCCCTCCAACGCGACGGCTTCGTCGTCGTCCGCTCCCTCCTCTCCCCCGAAGAAGTCGCCCAGTTCCGCGCCGTATCCACAAAAGCCACCACCCTGACCCGGGCAGGCCACTGGCCACACTTCCGCACCGTACCGAAGCAATTCCCCCCCTGGCCGACAACGCCGCCTCCCGCCTCGGAGGGCGGTATCTGGGGCGTCCAGCACCTCCTCCACCCTGAGATGCCGGGCCGCTCCGAATTCGCGCGCTTCTACTTCTCCGAGAAAGTGCTTGCCGTCGCAGAGGAACTCCTCGGCGTGAAGCGCACCGAGGGCGGCGAAGAGCCCCTGGTCATGGAGCTATTCAACCTGCTGGTTGCGCCGGAGACGAAGGATTTCAAGCTGCGCTGGCATCGCGATGATATTCCCGAGACGGTGGGGCCGGAGGAAGAGCTGAAGTTGTTGGAGTCGAAGAGTCCGCAGGGGAAGCAGAGTCATGCGCAATATAATTTGGCACTTTGCCCTGATGCATCGCTTATTGTTGTTCCTGGATCGCATCGGCGGGTGAGGACCGAGGCGGAGAGGAACGCGGATCCTTATGAGCCCGACATGCCAAATCAGTTGGTTGTGGAGTTGCAACCCGGTGATGCGGTGTTCTATGATAGCAATATTTTGCACCGCGGAGTGTATCGGGGTAAGGCTGAGGGTGGGGAGGAGACCAGACTGACGCTGCATGGCAGTATTGGGCTGAAGGGAGTGTCTGGAAATGAGGCAGATAAGAAGGTGCGGGCTACGGCAGTTCTGCAGCATGGTGTTGGGGCTTGGGTTCATCGCGATGATGCTGCGTTTGGGGTTGGAGAGCGGGCGGAGAAGATGAGGGCCAACTTGGTGGCCATGGGTACTGGAGAGGGTGTGGGTTACTCTCTTCAGGGATAGTCGTGTACATTCAGTGTATTAGATGCAATGTTCTTTATTATTAGCTCATGAGCTATGTTCTCGATCCTATATACTCCAATCGTTCTGGCTAACACTGAGGGTATTGAAGAAAAATAGTAGAAAAAGATAATCCTTATACATGCGTGTCACTCATTGTAATCATATAGCCATATTCATACCTTGTTGATTAGTTTCATCTTCCAGCGGCCGCTGTGCATATACATAGTGGTAGAGCACGTAGATATGATGGGAGCCGTCGAGAAGCTCTGCGCGCACTTTGTCCACATACTCCCGGGCATCTTCGGGCGAGTAGCCTAGCACTCGGGTGAACAAGGCCAGTGTATAGGGTTCGACGGCCTCGTACAGTGTGACTTTGCCCACTCTTCCGATTTCCTTCAGCCGGTTGTTTTTGGGCCATGAGCCCACAGGAGCCTTGATTCTGTCAGCTACATTCTTTCTGAAAGGCCAAACTTGAGTAAAACATGCTCTCACATACCTTGTAAACATCATCTTGAACATTAATAAAATTAGCATCCTCCATCCATTGAGCAAGATCAGACGCAACATTCATATGCCGTCCAAACAGCCTACTCGCTTCATCGATCTTATGCTGCCAATCCATGAGCATCAACGCCTGTTGAGCAGTGCCATCATCAGAGCGCAACCAGGTCTCATATTCCTGGATCTCAACCCAGCCACCAGGCTTAACATGGTTGTACGCCTGCTCAAGGAACTTTTTCCAATCGGAGATACCGCCGCCCAAACTGCGGACGTGGATATAATCGAACGCTTCACTTGGACTGAACGCCCATTCACTCTCAGCGTCGTCCACAAGAAAAGTGCAGTTCGGGGGCGCCCAATTGGGCTGGATGGGACTCAGATCGGTGCCGATGATCTCCGCGTCGGGGAATTCCTCTGCGATATCGAGCGCCCAGATGCCGGTGCCGGTGCCGACGTCGAGGATGCGCTGCGGCGTTCGGCCTTGATCTATTGGGGCGCGGTAGAGCGCGCCTCCTACGAGAAGCTTGAACAGATGGTGCATGAATGCCAGACGGTCTTGCTCTTCCTCGTCGTTCGGCATGGGGTATTGCCCGTTTCTGTAGGCGTGGTAGCGGCGGCCATTTTCGTATTGGTAATCTCGGACCGTCGAGTGAAGACTTAGGTTGGAATCGATTATGGATTGGGCGTCACAGAGAGAGTCTTCGTCACTAGTCTTATGGTGGGGTCAATGATTGTTCTTGAGATTTGGTACAGAGCTCGAAAGCGCCACGCGCCGGTCCGGCATGAGGGGTAGACTTGTTCAGAGTGTTCCGGGTCCCGAGACCAGATCACTCTAAGCGGACAGAACACTTGATGCAAAAATTTAACAAAAGATAAATTAACACCAATTTTGGCATGAGAATTGGCCACATCTTGCGTAGAAGCAACTTTCCCGGTGCAGGATTAAGGCCAATTGCCCCTGTAAGGGCAAGGAAGTCATTTTAATGTTAAAAAGTGAAAGAGCCAAAAAAAAAAAAAAGTCAAAGTTATGGGTGGGGGAGTCTTTATGGTACGCGGAAGATGGTTACGTTGTATTCCTCGAATTCAGGGAAACGGGAGGGAAGGGAATTCAGGCTGCAGAAATGGGGAGGGGAAATTTCTCACATCGACTACGATAAACTCATCAAGATTAGGATGCACCATAGTTGCGTGAAATGTAGAGTTTGGTAGAAGTATGGGAGCGAGACACGAAAAGGGAGGAACAAATTAGAAATGTGATAAATGTATATACAGAGAAAGAAGAAAGAAAGGAAAGAAAAAAACCAAAGCCAAGAAGAAAAGGGACACTTCCGATATAGAGGGGTAAACCGTGAATATATAGAGAGGTATTTACTAGACAAAGCTAAACTGCAACTGACAGACCCAAGAGAGAGGATGTTGGGTCTGTTGACGGCGGCGGTGTGCACCAGGGCACCAGGGCACTGGTTCTGGGTATTGCTTGGTATTTGTCCGCCGGGAACTGATTCGTCCTTTGCCAATGCTGCCGAACCCTTCGTGCAACATTGTTGCCCTCGATGCGCCTGGAATCAACTTAGCCGCTCCGGTCTAAACCAAAGTTCGTCTGGTCTGGAATTTTACTTTGATGATCATACGCCCCCCAACCATAGTAGCGTGCCGTGTCTTCCGTCCTACAACTCATCGTATATGCTTGTGCATCGGAGCTCATCCTTGACATATACAAGTTAAATACTGAGGTGGATTGGAAAATACGACAGCTTCGAACCCCGCATTAGCTGGATCCGCTTGAAATGCCAATCAAAGCTGCAGATTCGGCCGATCAGCCACTTTGTCGGGCGGATGAGGTTGCGCTACTGTACGTGCAGAAGGTATCACGGCCCTCCATACGGAGTACTCCATATGTTCATCGCCCGACCCGACCGGACTTGGAGCATATTACCTAATTGGTGGCTAGGCCCTGTCAGAAAATTCTACTAAATAGTTTCGATCGACTGACATGGTTGATATGTACTCACTCCATCTTGAATAGTCTGCCATACGTCTTGCACAGCTTCACTGTAACTGTCGTACACGGTTCGCTGAGGTGGTAGGTAGTACCGGCCACAGCAGCACTAAATAAAGCAAGCTAGCGGTAGGTTTGTATGGTTCCCAAACTGATATGACAAGTCAGCTTGGGGCACTCCTTGGGAAAATAAATCGAACGGTTATTCGTTCTTGGTGTGGCTCAACAGGGGTTGGATTGGAGACCATGCATATCTAGTCCGACAATTACGGATCTAGGAGATGTTTCCGATTGGTAACAAATCATACTGTCCGAGTGCTCATGATGAACTGGGAGCACTACACACTGTACTACTAACAGACTACACCAAACTGTTATGCACCAGGACGTCGCATCATTGAAACTTAGCGCGGAAAATTTTGGAGATACCCCTCAAAAGCTCATATCCTTCATCTGCGCCAAGACCAGCCACCACATGTACTAGGTGGTCGATAACTGTTGAGCAACCACAATGTCACTCTAGTTTTTATCTCATTGTCTCCCAAACGGTCTTTTGCCTAAC